TAAACTATCAAATTGCACTTCTACGTATTTTTCGAGAATTTTAACGCGGAAAAAAAAGGTATAAATGTGGACATATTTTATATATAATTATATATAAAATGTACTATAAATTCAGGGAAGTAGGAGTCTACGTTGTAGTTAGTGCATTAATATAATAATAGATATTTATTTTCTATTGCCTCTTCAATTTAGACATACATTTACTTTCGTACGCGTTTCGACTTGATTTAAGTCACACAATGAGATACATAAATAAAATATAAAACTATCCTAAAATCTGTGCAATCTTGGTGCCAACCATCCATCTTAAATGCTTCCTTGTGTTCTATCATGATTAATCAATCCGATAAAAAAATAGAAAGCTGCCACTAAATAGGCCATAAAACATTACGAATTTAGTAATAGCTGTCTATAGTAAGATTGTAAGATTGTATTACTGTAGACTCCTATTTCCCTAAATTTACAGTACATTGATTTGTTAAGTATTGAAGAGTCTGATTCTTTCTCTCTATTATATTTGATATATAAAATATGTCAATTTTTTATGTAATTATATAGAATTATGCATGAAATATTTTTTCCTCGGCAGGTGATGACGGATCGCTTTCAAACCTCTTTATTCTTTGTCTGTATTCTTTATTCTTTGTTGTAAAGAAAATACTATTTAAAATTATTTAAAATTAGAAAAATACATCTCTGACGGACACGAATGTATAAGCATATAATTCAAATATAGAATCCGAATAACGGCAATTAGTTAACCTGATGTTAACTCTTAAAAAATCAAGTTAAAAGTTAATAGTCATCGATAAAATATAACTAAGTAAAGTTAAAAAGTTAAAAGTTTAAAATGTAACTAAATGCAGTTAAAATTAATTAACTTTTTAACTTAACATTACCCAACCTTGCAGAAACAATATTAGTTAGCGCACTTACATTGTCTAGGAGCCAGTCAGGATCTATGTGCGATTCCACAAGTTGATTGAATACGAAAAGAGTTTGCCACTTGGAAATATTTTCTTTTGTCAGATGCGTCTGTTCGATATACTTACGACAATTCTGACAATGCGATTCTAATTGAGGTCTAACAGAAGTTAGGAATCGTTTCTCGCTCGGTGGCAGAAACTCGTTCTCTTGCCTGTGAAAGAAAACTTTTGATTACGCATGTTCACAATCGCGCAGGTTGTGACATAATGGCGCGCAAATGTGGCAACGTCGCACTATCAATGACATAAAAGTCTATTTAAATAAGTTATCATAAAAAAGAAAAATCCTTTGCAAAATGCATAGGTTACAATGTCAAATCGATTGTAATCTCACCATCCGTGTAACCTCACCATCATACGAACCCTGAACACTCTGAACTAAACGTGATATATGCGAGAAGTGCGGTGATGCCACAGGGTTTACTGATCGCCCCGTTTATTCGCTTCCATATGTCGAATAAAACAAAAAATTGCATTTTTTCATGACTCTATTTTTCAAACTAAATAG